AACGGTTATTTTGGAAACGCCACTACACACCCTATGTTGTTGTAACCCACTTATGCATAAACGAAATATCTCCTTTGGAAAGTTTACACACTTTCCCGAGGAGATAAAAACGATCGCTCCTAAGAATATCCTTCAATTCTTGTCCCTGACGGGTCTAGGTAGCGAACTCTGAAAAAGGGGGAGCGCAATAGATCTATGTAGGTCATAGTGCTACAGATGCTACAGGCATCAAGAATAAAATTTTACATCTTTACACCGTCTAGCTTAAACCGTTCAAGTGGTCCTTCGAGCCGGATAATTGTAAAATTTTTAATCGTCCGTCATATATGTATACATATCGTGTGCGTCCAAGTTATATGTCTTATAATCAGCAAGCAAACATTCCGATCGAAGAGACCGCAATATTTAGTAAACGAAATCTATTCCTACATTAATCTTGTTTTATTTTTTCAGAGCGAAGCAGAAAAGTTTATCGCCTGTAAGAATAATGAACCGAAAAACTGAAAATCAGCCGGCTATGTTGTCTTAAAAGAATAACAAAATGATGGTTGTTCTCTGGCTATATATAATATAGCTTTTGTACTTTTGTTATGTATATTATTATGTTCACTTTTTGGTATATATATATATTAGTAGCGGTAACTATGTATCATTAATTAATAATTTGAAATTTATATGTTGTAAAATATATATATTATTATGTGTTACTTTATTATATTAATTATAAATATATATACCAACCTCATTAGATTATTTCTTACTAGATAGGTGTTATATTTAACTGTTTTACTCATATATTTATTTATCATTAGAAAAGTCAAAAAAATCCTTTTTGATGTCTTTTACCTTTGTCTCGAAAAAAAAAACTGTATCAATTCCAAAAATTGACCAGTTTTAATAAGTTCTTCAGTGTTTTATTGTAATTTGAACTTTATGTAACACATAATAAAATAAATCATGTGAAATATATAAATAACGCACTCTTCCCAATAGTATTGTCTCACGAAAGGAAAAGTTCTAAAATCATTCTGCCACACTGTTTTGAGATTATGTATAAACCACACACATACATACCTTCACGATTGTTATCCGGGATCAGGTAGCCAGAGGCAGGCATTGTCAGTTTGTATATTGAATTAACAGTTAATAGTATTATTTTACAAGGTAATACTATAAATAAAACAAATAATGTATGGGTATAATTTTATTAAAATCCTTCACGATTTTTCTTTACAACGACCCGAACTTAATGACAGTGGGAATGACTGTTGAATATTATTTCTAGTGATCTTTATACATTTTACAAGCTGAGAGATCTCCTCTAGGTCTGGAAGCAGCTAGGATTTTGTTGGCAAATGTATTCGTTACATTTACATTAACAACTTGTGAACCGATTGACAAGGATTGAGCAAAATAATTTACATTAACACTCTTAGTTAATTGTTTAAAATTGTCAACCTTATAATTATTCAAGTTTCATTTGTCCGGTGGTTATGATTTCTAGCTATTCACCATTGGTGTTTTGTTTTACTTATGTTCCTAGTATGATTCGGTGGGCACTCATGTAAAACAACATTCGATATGTCATCTACGAGTTCACTGATTCTTTATTCCATTGAATATACATCTACAAGTGCTAAGTATTAGTTTTAAAATTGACATTACAAAAAAAATATTCATAAATGAAAGTATAATTGCGAATGAATTGTCGATTTAAAAGTTCTCGAAAATCATGTACAAAACTGTATTTTTTGTAATGATATCTTACATATATTCAAGTGCCGATTTCATTATGATGTTGATAATGATCAATTGGATTTCTCTTACTTAAGTATACTTGATTTTGTTTAATAATTGAACATATAAAATCATCAGACACACGGTTAATACTACATGCATGATCACAGCCCAAGAATATCTAATAAGGACATATCTAAATGAATACCGACAATATAGAATATATAATAAACTATTTATTTAACAACCTAAAAGTTTACGGAGAAGGGACGGAAAGAGAAAAATGAGCAAGAACCGTAAAGAAAGTGAAGAAATTCGGAATTTAATTTGAGACGACATCTGTATCACATACACCGGACTTACAATACATTTCTTAAACGAACACAGCGTTAGTGATATAATAATATGAAGTTACGTTTAATGATAAATTCACATTAATACATTGATTCTATTAGTGAAAGCATGCTCCCTGTATATAATAGTCAAATATTGGAAGTTATATTAAAACAATATGCCGTTATTAATAAGTTAATAAATATAATTAAATAAATTAGAGAATTGTCATTTTATAGAATTTTAATTTGCCTTTCTCATAATAAATTTTACAATGATGCGATCTTAATTTAAAGAAATGAATATTACAATAATAACAAGGAGCTCACTCCACATATAGTCATTTAAGTATTATTGACAGTATTTACAGTGACACGTATAGACACAAAAATGAACATTTAATAAAATCTTAACAGATTTTTATTAGATACAATAATATAGTTAAATATATTACGATAAATAACTGTACAATGAGCGACACAGGTGTAGAAAGTTGTAGGCCCAACTATTTACATGTTAACCACCTACATTTCTCATTAAATTTCTTTTAATTTCACACCAACTCTGATTAAATTCACTTTCATTTTACATCATCATTTGAAATAATGTTCAATTAAATTAATTTATTCTTTAATATTTATAATAATAAACCATATGTACATATACAACCTGTATATCAAGAATTAGACAATGTAATACATCATCCAAATAATACAAATATTGGATTATTTTAACAATTATAAATTATAAACTATTCTTTTAACATTAATGGCCTTAGGAATTCCATATGTTTAATTAATATCGATTATTAATTAAAAACAAATGTTATTTAATCAAGATACGGTCTATTTGTACGTATATATGTTTCTGATAATATCCTTCTACCAAATTTATCAAATTACAAGAACTTTTAATGAGAAACCCACGAATACTATTCATAATACTTATTTAATCACTACAAGTGCCAGATAATCACACCAATTGTCTGAGTTTCAAACTAGGATTCCCTGTACTATGAGGAAACCAGACAACAAAACAGTGGGTGGCACAGCCCAGCAACGACACTCGAGTTAGGTTAGGAAATTTCGTTTCCTAAAATGACTCGGTCGAGAACCAACGAATTTATTACCACGTAGTAATAGCTTCTTCTTGAATATCATTAAACTATTAAATAATGAATAATGTGTTTATAAATTCTTCTTGTCTTATAGACGACATCCTTAGTATAAAATTTCATATTAAATGAAATAAATCTACACGATATATCTAGGCCATCTTACAATAATTGTCAACATGCTTCGACAAATTACTCTAATGACTAAAGAGTTAAATATTGAACTCTATCGTCTGCAAGATAAAGTCAAATTTACATTGTTGTAGTCAATATATCATCTAATACACTTTAGTTTAATACAATATTTTTCATTATATCCATTACGAGGCCACATACTAAAGTTTTCTGCCCAAAGTTATTCTATGCTATACTATTCCGTATTGTAAATACTGATAGAGTCTAAAATTGCATAAACTTGTAGACGATACAGTATTGCTATGTGGTTAGCTATATTTAGCTTAAACCTACTTATATTAGCACATACGTCATTACGTCTCAATACACAGTACCGTTTTGGTAAAATTATCAAAAATGTTTCTTTGGAAAGAAAACTTTTTGTACATAAGTATATATACTAACATCTATTATATTGTAATAATATACCTAATGTAATCGTATATGAGTTAAATAATATGTGTCACAGAATGTACTCGTTAGTTCACATCATCCCGAGTTTGAATATGTAATGATTGTTAACAATTTTCCTTTGGAACAATTAAATTAACAAAGATTAAATCTTGTACAAGTGTCGGCATGAGTTTTAAATTGTACAATATTGTACATGTCTGTCCATAACTGTAATTGTGAAATTCTTTATGTTTTTAGTGAATATATCGAGAGATTTATTACGCTAACACATAATTATATGTTAGAATTGCAGTAGTTCTATTGAACGTGATAACTTTAGTTAATAATTAAATTACCTTCTCTTCTTTTAATTATTTCATGAACTTCAGTCAATAATACAGTTACTTAAAACAACAATTGATTTACTTCAGTCTTATCTTTTTAACCGAAATTTGCAATAACTGGATGGTTAAGAATAAAACTTACGTGCACAAGTAATTTAGGTTATAGTTAAATTACATAAATATCAATTATGAAACTATTTCAAATGAAAATGGTTAGCAATTACTTAATCAAACTGCAGATGATTTTGTACTAAAAATACTTCAAAATGTAGTGAATGAAAGGAAGAGGGTATGAGAATAAAACGATGAGATGCCACCTTCTAGCAATTCTCGTTTAAAATAAATTAAAATCTACAGTTATAGTAGTTTCATATGAATCATTGAAGTGTTGTAGTTACAAGCACAATTGAAACTCATAAAAATGTAGATTTTTATATTTGTAAATGAGAATCATTAGCAAGTAACAATCAAACAGAAAACGACTTTGGATCAAAAATAATCTGGAAAATGCTCAAAGCAAATAGAAAGACGAGAGAATGCAATCGAAGTGTTCTAAATACTAGCATGAGAGGCAAAAAGACAAGAGAATTGACGCAAAGAGTTCGAAAGATTGATATTAGAGGTACAGAAAAGGAAGTGTTCAATTTTTCTTATGTGAACGGAAGAAAAGTTGAGGTAAGGGAAGCGTTCAGAAGACTTATAATGAGGGTCAAGAATGGAGGCGAAGACGATGATATTCAGGAGATTAATAACGATGGTGAGATAAGTAAAAGGGTCGGGAATGGAGGCGAAGAGTCCGTGGAGGCGGCGCTAGAGCGGCGGCGGGCGGCGGGTGCTGGCGGTTGGGTGCGTGCCCCGCAAGCACAGCGCGTACAGCAACGCGAACAGCGCGTACGGCGCCAGCACCGCCGCCGCCAGCCGCGCGCGCGCCGCGCCGCCGGCCGGCACGGGGAATCACTTCTCCTCGTCCTCGTCGCGGAACAAGTACGTCGACCTGCACCGCACCACGTGCTCATTAATGAAACTATTATTCCTCTCACAGAAAACACAGTTATATACAAAATTATTCCCCTCCGATCGAACCCCGTCCAATTCAAACGGAGATCGAAATTACGACGGCTTAAGCTGAGGTTCGTACCCCTAGCGGTGCCCTCAGGCTAAAGTCTAATCCGTCAGGCGGGAGGCCTTCAGCCGCTCCGCTCCGTTCTTCCGTGGATTTGGAGTGCCACCTACACTCGCCCCTTATCGTCCGATGACGTTGTAAAGGCCAGCTGTGGCCAACGGCATTAGAGTAGTTCGCAAAAATAGTATAAAGAGATAATCGATATCTATTATCCAGGTATTTAAGCAATTGAAGAAAAGCGAATAATTCTAGTATTTTGTAATAAGTTCTAGATCTAGATTGTCTAAATGTTACGTTATACTAGATGACTTTCAAGTAGCTGTGACATGAGCAAGCAGCGAGTCAAAAAATATTAAATTCATATGACGGAATGTAGGTATGAACGGATATTCTACCTCATTTACTTTAAAAACTAACTGCTTTTAATGCTCATTCAGAATACTGAATCAGTAGTATAATTTTTGTTTACTTCTATAACATTTTTCGCCTACAATCATGAACATTATCAGTAATATTACAAAATGAATTTGCGACGCCTGAGATAACCTTTGTAGTTCGCATCTATGAGGTTCAAGGTATCCTGTAATTTTACAACAATATCTTACATTCAATAAGCAAGAGACAAGAAAGAAATGTAGCCACACGGACTTACAAGTCTCTATCTGGTAGCGTAAACATATATTCAATAACTCACCAATAAGCCAAATTAAAGAGTGCGAAAACAAGCGGGAAAGTGATCCTGGAGATGACGTCTATCCTCTTCGATCTGGTAGGAAACTTGGACATCCAGAGACGGCAGCAGTTCTTCCGTGGTGGACTCATGCGGACCTCGCACTGCCGCATCTTCGAGTCAACGATGCCGTCGCGCACCAGGGGTTTCTGTTCGTTGCAGACCAGTCAGGGAGAACGGATATACAGCATTTGGTGCAACTAACCAGTGCGCTAATGCTGATTATCACATTCATTAAGTAAAACTCGAATTTGACGTTTGCAATTAGGGATAAAATCAAAGTACAAACATATCACACCTATCTTCTAGTATAGACATAGGCAATCGAACACCTAATGCTCTGATTAGTACATTCCTCTTTTTGATTCTTCTACATTCGTCAAATTATTTATAAAAAATTGTCGTAATTTGAAGTAATTCAAATTTAGTGATTGGCATTGTCGTCTATACACATATTGAAGTGTATAGACGACAGTTTCCACTTAGGTCATTGAATGTCGCGGATATCTTTAAACATTCTAACACCTATAGTTTACCTGACTTATTGCTTATCCATAGTGCTAAGTCACTATGGCACAGTAACCTTTAACTTTACTGCCGTGTCTCTCCACCTATCCTCGTCAACGCAAACGAATTTGTATCTCTCATTAAAAAATCAATATCTTCACTCGTATTAAATGCGAGCTCACCATAGCGAAAGTAGCGTTGCTGTCAGTGTCCAGCAGATCTGAAGCCGCATCCATACTCGCAGCTGTCTCCATCTCTCTCCTTGTCTTCTTCATCATTTCCCTATGCATGTCAGAGCGAGATGCATAATTCACTAGAGCAAATTCTAGTAGCGCACCGAAGACAAACGTTAGACACACCCCTGTCCATACATCGATAGCTTTTGTGTAGGATACTGGAGGTAATGATGCGTTAATGCCTGATGATTGAGTAGCCATGGTGAGGAGGGTTGTCACTCCTGGAAAACAGAAAATATAATATCCTTATCCTATCTGCTCCATACAAATAAACATAGTTTCACTTTCACGTTTTACTATTTCAATAAATAATACTCTATCAAATGGTCAGTATTTTGCTAAAGATGCATAATTGAATCTCAATAGACTTTTCGTCTAAAGTTATGTAACCCTACGTATCTAAAAAACTTAATTTTCATCAAAAAAAGGACCGATCACACAAATGAGGTACAATTTGTATGAAAAATCCCATACTATAAAAAGTTGAAATAATGTGTAAAACAATCGAAATATAAATTTTCAGAATAACGAAAACTAAAACTGTAATAATAGAAATTGTAGCGCGGTTGTTATCCTCATCACTGTAGCGGTATATATGTCGAGATGAGGTGGTGCTACATAATATATTATTTATTGTAGTGTGTAGGTAGTGAGTATACCGGTAAAATGAATGCACGATCTATTGTACATTATTAAGTTTATTGGTAGTGTGCTACATGGCTTATTAGTAATGTAGACGTAGACTGATTTTACACTTAAATTAAATCTATGTTAGTGGAGACGTAAACTAATGGAAGGGTCTCAAGATAGCTGAGTAGAGCGGTACGTAAATATTGTTGCTTGGATGAGTATTGATACCAGTATTTAATTTGGTTCTCACCTAGCGACACCCTCGCCGGCACCGCGCCCTGGTCCAACCAGAAGGAGACCCAGGAGACGATGACAAGCATGCAGCACGGGATGTAGATCTGGATGAGGTAGTAACTGAACTCGCGTTTAAACAGCAAGTCTACTTTGAGGCAACTGTATTCACCTGAACAATTAAAGAATTATATTATTATAAAGTTAATTGGCATATTATAGGAATATTATACGGAAAAATCTACATAATTTATATATATGGGGAAGATGATACAGAAAAATCTGTAAACAGTTTATATCTAGAACAGTAGATTTATATAAGGAATTTTCTACGTGGCCTGAAAACCTACACCCAGGTCACAAGTTTCGAGAACTACTTCTCTCTCTGCCACACATTAATCCCGCTCCTGTACGGTGAATCCATGACATGGTATGTATGTTATGTAATTCATAAGTTCATTTCTTTTTAATTAATTTAAAATGTTAATTAAGAAATACTTATCAAGTAAATTATATTACACTGTAAATGATATATTTGGGAGAGATGACCGAGAAGTTATGACAATCAAACGGATCTTAATAAAATTTGACGTAAATACAGATCGATGTTACAAGACGATGGTACTCGTATCTTTTAATAAAAAAATGCAGACAGAGTACTACTACTACTAGTAACGGTTAGTAATAAATATATAGAAATGCTGTTAGTAATAAACTATTTCAGTGAGTGAATATTTCTTACCAGTATTGGTCTTGCTGTTGCAGTAATCTGTGAGGAACTTCTCCAGTGTGAACCGAGGAAGGTGAAGATTCTTAACCACCTGTACTGGATCGCCTTCTTTCCATAAGAACACCAGATCGTCAGTCGTCCAACCGTCTATAAACATTCAACAACATATCACAATTAATGCCATTTTTGTCTTTTTTTCTTTTAATGGCCTGACCTTGGTGCATTTGCCGAAGACGATTTGGGAAACCGTAATGCGTTAATGAAAGGATACTTCCGGCTACAGTAACCAGTTACCATCAGATTGGCCGTATACTTGATTGCCACCGTCGTGGTATAAAAAAAACAACTTGCAAGGCAAGCCGCTTTACCGAATTAGACGAGACTTTATACAAAGTTAAAATTAAGATATCATATGTGAGGGTTATGGTATACCCTCATTCATTGGCATTGTGGAGAACTGAGAATTTATGCTTCTGTACCCTGTAATTTCACTGCCATTTCTCCAACCGAAGCACACTTATAAACAAGCCGGTTTCGACGATCTAGCGGTTTACCACACTTCTTTACTTCCAATGGTCGCAGGTTCAATTCCTCGCATGTTCAAACATTTGTTTTCATGAGTGATTATTTGTATTGGTTGAGGTGCCTTCTATGTATATTATGTATGTATTTACAAAAAATGTTTCTAAGTATTTATATCAGTTGTCTAGTACCCATAACAGAAACTCCGCTTAACGTAGAACTAGATGTTGTGTCAATTGTACAGAGATAAAACTGTTTGGTGGCGGAAATAAATGAGACTGACGTAACCACGCAAACTCTACCTCAGGTAAAAACGGTACTGTCCTATATACTAAGAATTAGTTAGGTGTTGCCAATAAACATTACTTTTTTTAATCTTTAAAAACCTTTTCTTCGTATCTATGTTTGTTTGTTGAACCATAAATAACTAGCTTAGTGGTAGCTTTGTTACATAAACATACGCAATTTAATCTGGAATGTAAACAATTGAAATGTACGTATTATATTCGCCATCAACAAATGGTCTATGTTTTTTCGTCGATTCCTTTTCATCAGGTCTATTTGAGAGTTATTTATTTTACATGTGTGTTTTCTTAGCGAAGTGCTATGTTATGTAAAAGTTTTGGAGTTTTCTTACAGAATGTGAACGAAATGTTTGCTTTGAACGAAATAGTATGTTAACAACGGATTAGCTTTGCATTGTTTGCAATGCACACTAGTCTTCAACATATTGTCTTATGGAGTTGATACTTGGACTCCCAGAACGGCAGACTGAACCATTGATGCATTTGAGATGTGGTGCTCCCATGGACTGTTTTCCACATGAATGGAGGAGTCAGAGAAAAAATGGTTATGTCACGCCCCCAGGAATGTGGAAAACGACTTGAGAAGGAGGCTTGCAATGTCACAATACGACATGCCCTGGAAACCTTCATAGTTAAGTTCTGGAATACTCTCCACGATCTCCTTAATAACCTGACTTCACACTCATTCCTTCAACTTCTGCTGGATCCGCTTGCGCTAACGGTATATTGTACAAAGTATTATATCTATTCTAATGCTATGAACCAGAGGTGAAAGGGATTGTTAGTAATGTAGGTTAATAACCCGATTTCTAACAATGTTAAGAATACACGCGGTTCCCTCTGGGAACCATTTTGATATATTCCTGATGAATTTGTCAGTCTACACTGGAGGATGACAAAATGAACATGAGATTAGGCCAGTTAGACCACCGTGACAAATTCACTAGGATTTTTCTACAATGGTTTCCAGGGAGAACTGCGCGGAGGTCGAGCTGAAAGGGGGGGGTCACTATTACTAAGAATCCCCTCCCCCCCTTAACTTTTGATTTAATTTTGATCTAAATATACTTACAACTGGCCATCCTCAATGAGCAAGTCTGTTTGTCCAACGGGTACAGTTTCAAATTCATAGGGCAGGACAGTGTCAAGGAGATCCGGATGCTGTACAGCACGTTGCCATTGGGGAAGATCCTGATGTACACGTTCGGCATGATGATGTTGTGGAAATGGCCCTCCTTCTCGTTGGAGAAGAACAGGTCAGGCATCCATACCCTGTTCGCTTCAGTCAGGGTTAGATATTTCAGACGACCTGCGGAGAAAACGAGTTTTATATAAATCGTACTCATACCGTCATACTCGTGGACGCCTGCTACTTGTAGGGACTGGTTTGCTCTAATCACTACGACTGATTTTATGTAATGTAGTTATTTTTAATCAGTTGATTGTGTATTTTAACTCTAATGAATTAGTGCTAGTTGGTGGTTTGTATTCACACATTTAAATTTAAAAATGTGTTACAACAGTTATTTAAAAAAGAAACGCGTAGTTTCTTGCTCGTTCTTCTTGTAGTGGTACTTTAGTCACGAAAGGAACAAATAGACATAATATATATGTACTTCCGCATATATAGTATTAATATAAGGATATAACGAAAAGATCCGAGCAATATTTAAACTAAATTCCACCTCAATGCAAATGTATATGCTATAGTATATATGTAATAAAGAATTTATCTATTTTTATGTTGACTTTAAACCGCGGTAATTTCATACATGTGTACGTAGAAACATACAATTTGCAGCTCTACTAGGTTTATCTATATATAGATGTAAAATCATGAACCCTATATTAAGTTTACGAGGATCCTTCTTCTTCACAATATTCTGGGTAACCTTATTATAATACATCAGTCTAAATAAAGTTACGGCCACTTGGGTACTTGTAAAGTTATGACATGGGCCCAAAGGTATCGGGTCCTCTTAAAAGCATCATTTAAGTTCCGGCATATGTAGACCATCCTTTGATAAATTCATATTCTCATCTAAACTTCTAACTACATCATACGTATAATAAAATTTGTATACTCCATATATGTCTTCCTTTTTTTAAATAACGTTCAGTTATTTAAAAAATAAAATACGATTCTTTTTTCGAGCTATTCTAATGCAGACCGCAGCTGGCCTTAACAGCTTGACCAAACGATAGAAGGTGAGTGCAGATGGCACTCCAAACCCGCGGAAGGACTTATTGAGCGGCTGAAGGTCAACCTCTGACTGACGAATACGATAATACCTGCCTCCTACCTATATAGTAATATAGTTTATAGGTGAAATCTCGGAAAATAGTGGAAAATACTGTAAATATGCCAGTAGTTGTAAACAGTCTCGAAATAGCACGATGTAAGTGGTACTCACCTCCCAAGTTGTTAAACTTGAGCCTCTCATCTAACCATTGTTCCCTGAACGTCAGCTGTACAGAGTATTCCTGGAAACATGAAAAAACATGTAACGCGTGTAAAGTATACCATGAAAAATACATAGAGATATTGTCCAAATCTTTCCTTGTAGTAATAGTTGTAAATATATAAATTAATTAAAAAAAATATATTACTTTTTTTAAACACAATTACAAGTTTTAACTGAATTTAATTAAAGCTGATCATGGGACCAATGGATCGAAACTTTTCCTTTCAGTTCATTGAAGTGATTCATTTATAATTGTTTTCTTTGATTTACGTAATTGTTTGTAAATCTGTTTTGTTTAGACAATATCTCGATGATGTACATAAATAAATCAACACATCTAAATATTGAAAAGTTGACACAAATATTCATAGTGATAATCTACATTGTTTTGCGGCATTATTTATCTGTGCAACAATTTAAAAAGCTTTATTTATCACTCCTTAGAATGTTCTAGTTTCATTTGTTAACGCATATGAAGCTATTATTCTACTATGTGTGATTTTACTTCTCGTTAAAGTTAAGCGATTACAGGTGACGTCTGCATTTGTGCCAATATATTGCCTATGGTGCATACCGAATATTGCCAATTTGTACAGTGAAATAACAATGATCCAGAAAATTCATTTGGACACTTTTTGAGGCGTATTGACACAAATCTATGTCCCATAATGTACTTCATTATCATCTATGGAGGAAGGGAAGTGTCGAAGGTTCTTTCTCAATAATTAATTTGACATCAACAAACAGAATCGACCCCTCGACATCAATGAGCAAGTCAAATGAATTATCGTAATACAATAAATGCAGAAGACAAATCTCAAATTGACGCATGCGCGCTTGACTGTTAGCTTTTGGAGCGTATACATGTATGTACGTACAAAGTTGAGGTAGCTGATTTTGATAATGCTTTCATGGGAGGGACAAGACATAAATGTGATAGCATCGACTTTGATGGATGCGGCGGGCTCATAATGAATGTATTAGCCAAAATTGGCGGCCTGCCAGAAACGGGGACGACCGCCCCTCCTCATAATAAATATTCTAGTTGCTGCTCTCTATCCGCGCATCTTATACCTTATTACCGACTTGCAACATCCAAAAGTTAACTTCGAGTGAATTTGAAATTCCTTCAGGCATTGGCATGCTAATGGGTCATACAAACTAGCGAATCAAGCAAAGCATCGAAACCGACTCACCGTAGTCAGCATTCGTCGATGGAATGCTTGTCAGTAGTTCATTGGTTACCTTCATGCAGGCACATTTGGCCGGTTTAACTAGAGCTACGGAACGTCTAGCTGACGTTGGGGGTCAGGTATCACATATTGTGGTCAGGTGGACAGCCACCGTTCGGAAGCACCAAGCCGTGTGCGGGCGCGACGATCCCAATACAATTTACACAACACAAATTCACATGAACAAGACAATATAAACAATGTTAAGTACAGTTAAAGTACACGACCAAAATAGTTTTTAATGTTATAGTCCTCATCAAAATAATTAATGCATGGCAGAAAAAGAAGCATGATTGGAAGAAAATCAAAATACGGAAACGAAATGATAATAATGAGATGAGAGTGTCGGTGCGGGCCGCGTATCCCCCTTGTGCCCAGTCTACAAGCGTGGCTGAAACTATTTATAATACTTATTATTATATTAATTGAGATAGAATTTGTGATAACGGTAAGTATATCTGTGGGTGCGTTCGAGTACCAATTGATTACTTTACCAACGTTACATGTGCTGATACCGAAGCGGTCGTATCTATACAATTTGGTGCTCACTATTGTACTGTGCCAATAATCCATCAGTTCGGTGAATTTACAGGAGTAGTAGTACCTAAAATTTGTATCATAACAACGTCAACGCAAAATGTAAATTAAAGAAATAATGGTACTTAAATATAAAACAATAAATAAAATAAAAGTGGTTCTGAGAAAATAAATGCTATTTTTAAATAGTGTGATTATAATCGAGATTTAGAATCATGTATTATTTTTATTCGGATCACCAAAATGATTAAAATAATACAAGAGTGCGCGGCACCGCACCAGAGAGTTAATAATTTAGTCACAATATTAAAGGAACGTAGATTAAAATTCAACATTTTAAAGGTGAAAAATGAACACATAAAACATACAGTGCTGAACATAAAAACAAAACAAAAATTCAAAAGAAAACAAAAGAAAAGACGTTAATAACACATATAAATTACAATAGCTTGAATAATAATGTTTAGCAGAGTGCAATTTATTTGCCACAGGTCCAATTGGTTACAATGACCAGTTTTATTATAAACAAAGTTTTTGCCAATTTTCTTTTGTAACTTTGTTTTGTAATAAAAGAGGTGTTTTATATTCACATCGTCGTCTATATGTAACCACTCACCATTTTGTAATCATCTATTTTGCTGATGGATCGTAGATACAGGTTGACGCGAACTAAGGTTGGCGCATCGCCTTCGTGACAAAAAACAATTTTTAAACATTAAACCGCTTCATCATTACAATCATTATCACCTATGTTATCGTCTATATTATAGGGTATCGCAATTATTATATCAAGATATTTAAATTCATTAAAAGACCATGGTTTTAAATAATAGATGAGTTTGATGTCGATGCCAAAATATAATGATTTGGAGCTGATATAGTTTAATTCGACGTTACAGTCCATATCATTATAGAAAGCTACTTAATGCCCTTCACACAAAATCATAATGACAACCAGCCAGCCTAAAAAGGAAAATCATAATCTAAATATGTTAATCTCTAATAAAGAGGAAACAAAATTGATTTAGAAGACATTCGAAATAATAAAGCTACACATCCGTTAGGCGTTTATGACTTCGTCTTTTGAAAAGTGCGCGAATAAAAACGATTTTGGTCGTCAACACCAAACGGGATATATACGTGAAGGAGAAAATATATGGAAATAAAGGTTTACATATAATTTTGGGTAAATCGCTCCTCTCAAAACATAGAAGTGATTTACCCATTCATTTGACTTGTTTGGGCGCGATATATAACTTTAAATCTGATCTTAGTCTAATGCGTCGTATCCGTCTCAGTCGACTTACCATTGTGACGTCATCGATCTTTGATATACTTCTGACAAATATATTGACGTTCACAACCGCCGGCCCATCTAAGTACCAAGCAAAATATACGTTTTAAATAATCATTAAAACAAACAAAACTAAACTCTAACGCGGTAACATAAGGTGACACGGAACGCGCCGAGTGTCCACTCCCGACTCCTCACAATACGTACTTCCGTACATTAAAGACTCACCTTTGAAACCTGAAAAGCTTTGTACCATGTGTATGTGTCTTATGATGAATGTACACTGAAAATAAAACTACGAAAATCGACAAAGTAACAAAGGAAAATCGACTTTTGGGTGAAAATAAAGTTGTAGCAAAACATACGGTTGTCTTGCTTGTTGAGAATTTGTGTTAGTGTAAAAATATAGAGCAAGTTTTAAATGTTACAACACAAAGCAAACAATTATCTAATAAAGTCGATTCAAATGGAAATGTCGATTAAAATTCTTCAGGTCGAAATTTTTATTTTAAATGTTACTTTCTCTTGGATAAAAATTAAGAAACCTTTACACATGTTCAACACAAGTATTTTCGACTCGAGTCGTATGGGCAACCGTTTCATTTGCAAATTGTGGTAGGGCCGAAGAAAATCCGGCACGAGTGATGCATGGCGTAGGCCGGAAATTAGCATTTTGTGCTACAAACGAAAACACGGGTAATACCTGCCCGCCAAAATCCCTATTTACTTGTAATTATGTATTTGCATTTCCTCGACTCATTCTAATTCAAATTTAAATAACTGTATGTACTTTACACTTGATTTTTAATGAAAATTTTAATAAATTAGCTGTAATAAAAAAAGTGAATTTCAGATAAATTGCGTTGAAATTATTTAGTGAGGATTTATAATCTGTAGGTAACTAAGTCGTTAGAAATAAGGACATCAAATAAACAATGAAACGTAACTATGTATATTAAAGTTGTTTTTTCGTATTTTTTTTCGTAGGTGGCAAACAAGCATACGACCCGTATAATGGTAATATTTTTTTATCAGTATAATAGAAAGAATTATGAACTATAGTTTGAGCGTTTCATGATATGATATATTATACATAGATCTTTGTTAATTAGACGAAAAAACAGGTTTCGAAGGTCCGAAGGCAAATTAGTAGAACAGACAAGGATATTTATTTCATATATATATTAAGATTTAATGACAGTAATCCTTATTAATATAAATGCGAAAGTAACTCTGTCTGTCTGTCTGTCTCGCATTCACACCAAAACAATTGAACCGATTTAAATTATATTTGGTACACACATAGTCTAGAATTTGAAAAAGGACATAGGCTACTTTTTAATCCGACAAAAAGGGATGTAAGGGGTTGAAAGGGAGATGAAAGGTTATATGGAAGTATCGACAATTTACGCGGACGAAGTCGCAGGCACATCTAGTATAACATAAAAAAGCTTTAATTGCAATGAAAACGGTTGCCACATTTTCATTTATTAATTGCAGGTAATCCACAAAAAGATAGTGTACAGTCTGTATTGCGTGCTGCTGAGTCCTTCCATCGATTTTTTTAATAGCACTGCAATACATTTTAGCTGTGTAACTTTGTAAAAATATGAAGTAAAACTTTGAAATTGTTTTTATTAATGGATATTACCTCAGTTTGATAGAATTTGTTGGATATAACGTTATTTTTTAACTACTATACGCTCGGTTAAAAATGCTTTATCTATTTAAAAGAAAGATATATCCTAAGAATAAAAATGTTTTATTGTTGACTCTGCTCTTTGGTATCGTTTAACCATCACGCCCGCACCCTTGCGGATGATAATAGACAAATAATTTATGATTAAAAAAAATGTTATGTTTTAGCAATTACGCCTTTTTCTGATACTCTTTAGAGTTATTCTTTTTTTTTATTTACCGTTAAACTCTCCTAAAATTTAAAGTTACCTGTGAAATTGCCGGAGACATACTGGCCATATATTTGGCAGGATTTTTTCGTCTGGCTCAGGAAATTTTATTGTATTTTTAATTGTTCTTTTTACTATAGTGTACTATATATGTACTATATTATCTAGGTAAATAGATAATATAGTACATAGATAACATATACGAAATTTAAAGTTTATAAAAATTTGTCTTTCTTAATAATAAAACTTTCAAAATAAAACTATAATAATTGTAATGCGTAAATGACAGAAAGGAGTTATCGAATTTATATAATAAAATATATTTCGGTTTGGAAATTCGATTATTATTAGATATAAATAATATGTTAATACATAATTAATATTACTTATGGTTTTACAATACAGCAATTACACAGGTAAATATTAAATGGCAAATGCAACATAAATACCGATACCATAAATTAATAGATAATTTTTTTAGTCAATCAATGTTTTTTTTTAAATCTTTAATATAACATCGGTAGAAATTTTAAAGTAGAAATACAATATACTTTATACTGTAAACGATTATATCTTCGCAAACGGTGCTATCCATGAATTTTAACTGACTTTCAAGATCAAACTATATATTAAATAATATTTTTTTTAATTTATTTTTTGTGTATTACCTACTCATACATATCACACTTATCAAGGAATATCTTAATAAGTATTTAATTTATTTTATTGGTTCATTGTCATTTTTATTGATGTCTAATTTTATTTTAATACGATGGAATAGCATCTTGAAAGTCTTACTTAGTAAGGAACACTACTAAACCACGCCCAGGCAAAATTTACACACAAGGATGTTGCTTTGGAGCAGTAGTAACTATTTATATTTCCAGCCAGTGTCACATTTTCGCCATAGATTATATACATACAGTAAATAAATATAATATTATCGAAAAAGTAAAAGAACCTAATTAAAACCAACCGAATATTTTATAATTAAATTTGTTCTAAAAGTATAATCTTAAGAATTAACTAATATTAAAGTTATATTCTTCTTCCTTTTTTAAAACTGAAGTCCTAGAATGGTATTTATTTTTTACTTATTTTTATTCTTCTACAAAATATAGGCAAAGGAATAGATGGCCGTACAGCCTAGGCTGATATTTGCATTTTTTAAATCTTTAAGAAAGTATAATACTCGTATAAACATCTTAACATCTCATCGTAACAAATATGTAGTGGAGTCTTTTTAATATTCTCTTATAGACCAAGACAAGCTCTAAATATAAGACAAGAGAACGACGGCATAAAAAATATGGGCACTTTATATAATCCCAAAATAATAATCACATAACGAATGTTTAAAAGACTAAAAAGAATTTATAATTTTTACGGTTAAACACTTTTATTAAGTGTGGATAACAATGTACTTCAATTTCCGATTATTTTTGTATTATATCTAAGGTTATATTCATCTGCTAGATAAGTGCCCATGACCACTAATACCAAGTAATTCCAAAATTTAACCCGTTCCTTTCCATTAAGCCGTCTCGTTTCGTAATAAAAGTTAGTGACGCAATAGGAAATACTGGTCTCGTGCCAAAATAAAAAAAAATATGATGGCATTATTGTGAGATTTATTGAGTATATATACTATAACAATATTGTAATATTAGTAATAATTTATACTAGTGCTCCAAAGCAGTTTATATCAATGAGTCCCTTACCATGGATGAGAGTTAGATATTGAATGAATAGTTTATTAAATATGTAAATGCCACGAGATATCAGACTTTTTTACTTAAGTATATATTTCTTTAACACTGGCAGTTAATAATATAAAATTACGCATAATATTATAGAAAAACAAAAACTTATGAATTTTATTACTTATCTTGCAATCTACATGTTGAAAAAAAAAAAAAATATTTTTTAATCCTCCTGAAATTCATGGCAAAGGACAGCACATTATACGTATATATTTGTTATCATCAAGTAAATTAAAGTACAAATTAGCGTAATTGACATTAAAGCTGCACTACAGCCGTTTGGTTACCATTCGGACTGTACTAACCATCTTGATGTCGCTTATGGTGGTAATACTTCTTACGAACAGATTAATGTTGACTATTGCCGGCCCATCTGGTAAAAATGGGAGATTCTGTACGAATAAAGTTCTTTCACGAACTAACAATGTCTATATAAACATACGTTAAAAATATATTAATAAAATAATATTTCGTCTTAATTTCAAACTACAATCATTATTGCAGGTGATTGTTTTAACCGTGCGGATAAAAATAACATAACTGGTACTGAAAAATGATAATTATATTTTTTGTTCCTATATATTCTATAGAGAGCTCAGTTTCATTCTAAGAAAAGAATTAGTTTCCATTGAAATACATAGATTTTTATTTATTTTTTAAAAAATGTTAATATAAATAAACTTTTATTTTTTAATAATTAAACAAAAAAATATGATACTTTCC